CTTCTTCTTCTTCTTCTTCTTCTTCTTCTTCTTCTTCTTCTTCTTCTTCTTCTTCTTCTTCTTCTTCTTCTTCTTCTTCTTCTTCTTCTTCTTCCTTTTTTGTCCTCCTCCCTCCCCAGACAGGGTTTCTCTATAGCTTTTGAAGCCTGCCTTGGAACTCGCTCTGTAGACCAAGCTGGCCTCAAACTCACAGAGATCCGCCTGCCTCTGCCTCCCGAGTGCTGGGATTACCACCACTGCCCAGCAGCCCAACAATTTCTATAGATAGTCCAGACTGGCCTGGAATTAGAAATTATGGTGCCTCCTGGTCAGAGAGACATTAAAGATCCCACCCCTCCCCAAGGAGGACTCTAGAGGCCCACCCCTCCCTGAGGAGGACTCTAGCTACCTCACCCCTCTCGGAGGAGGACTCTAGAGATTCCACCCCTCCCTGAGGAGGACTCTAGAGGCCCCACCCCTCCCTAAGGAGGACTCTAGAGACCCCACCCCTCCCTGAGGAAGACTCTAGAGACCCCACCCCTCCCTGAGGAGGACTCTAGAGGCCCCCCTATAAGAATCTATAGGCAGTTGGCAGCTTCTGGTAGAGGGTGAGATGGTCTCTGAAGCTGTAAAGACACTGGTAGGAAGCCCATGCTCCTACAAATAACCCTTCAGTCATGAAGCTATAGCCACCCTAAACCCTCTAGATAACAACAGGAAAAGTTGTGAGGGCCAGTTAGCTCAGCAGATAGGAAGGTAAGGGTGCTTGCTGTCAAGCCTGGTGACCTGAGTCTGATCCCCATGACCTACATGGTGGGGGGGCTATAGAAAGATCCCAACAAGTTGTCCTATGACCACCATGCCAAGGCATTCACTCCCCAGGCACACACACAATAGTTATTTAAAATTGTAAGACTTGACGCCAGGAAAAAAAAAAAAAAAGACTTGACGCCAGGCAGTGGCACACGCCTTTAATCCCAGCACTCTGGAGGCAGAGGCAGGTGGATCTCTGAGTTCGAGGCCAGCCTGGGCTACAGAGTGAGTGCCAGGACAGCCATGGCTACACAGGGAATCCCTCCCCATAAAAGTAAGACATGAACATACAAGGGAACTAAGAAGAGGAAGGATGTGAGCTGCAGTGGGTGAGGACAGGAGGGTATAATCCAAATACATTATACACGTGTATAAAATGCCTTAAAAATGTATAATTAATACATAATGCTGTATAATTAATATAGGCTAATAAAAAGCTTTTTAAAAAAGCAAGAAATCCTCTGCCTCAGCACCCTCAACCCTCAGTACTGCAGTTGTAGGAGGTGTGCTCCATCATGAAAGGCTCTCATATCTCTCCCCTTCTTTTGTCTTTGAGAGGGGTTTCCTAGTCTTCAGATAGCATAGAGTAAGTCTCGAGTGTGTAATCTTGGGCTCAATACATAGCCAAGGCTGGCCTTGAACTCCTGATCCTCCTGCCTCTGCCTCCAGAGTGCTGGGATTACAAGCGTGTGCTACCGTGTCCAGCTTCTCATACCCATTTTTTGTTTTGCATTTTATTTATTTGGTTTTTCGAGACAGGGTTTCTCTGTAGCTTTGAGGCCTGTCCTGGAACTGTAGACCAGGCTGGCTTCCAACTCACAGAGATCCGCCTGCCTCTGCCTCCCAGGTGCTGGGATTAAAGGCGTGCGCCACCACCGCCTGGCTTTAATATCCATTTCTTACATCTTATTTTAAAATAAGAGGTTTTATTGATATTTATTTTATGTGTATGAATGTCTACCTATGCCACTTGCAAGCCTGGTGCCCGTAAGGGCCCTGAAGATGGCATCAGATTCCCTGGGACTAGAGTTACAGGTAACTATGAATTGCCATGTGGGTTCCAGGGACCAAACCTGGATCCTCTGAAAGATCAGTGAATCTTCCTAACCAACCAAGCCATCTCTCTAGCTCCAAATATCCACTTCTGAGAGATAGGATGAAATGGCCTTCCTGACGGTCAGGGAGGAAAAAGAGTCATTCCCGAAGTAAGGATGTAGCCCTGGCAGGCCTAGAACTCACTATGTAGACCAGGCTGGCCTTGAACTCACAGAGTTGTGTCTTCTTCTGCCTCCCGAGTGATGAGATTTATTTGTATGTATCCCCATGCCTCGCTTCCAGTCCCTTTTTGCTTGCCAGTCACAAGGGCTCCCATAGGTCTGTCTGCCCATAAGAGACTTAGGGGAAGAAGGACAGTTTGCATGGATAAGAAGGAAGTGCCCGTGTACCCACAGCACATGTGTGGCCAACTAGAGGTCCACAGAAAGCCATGCCTTTCTCCCAGTAGCATAATGGAAAGAATCACTTGGCCAAAGGAAGACAGCATGGAAACAGATTCTTAATCTTTTTTTAATTAATTAATTAATTAATTAATTTATTTATTATATATACAATAGTCTGTATGCCTGCAGGCCAGAAGAGGGCACCAGACCTCATTACAGATGGTTGCGAGCCACCATGTGGTTGCTGGGAACCGAACTCAGGACCTTCGGAAGAGCAGGCAATGCTCTCAACCGCTGAGCCACCTCTCCAGCCCCAGATTCTTAATCTTGACCTTAACCTAGGGATCCACAGAGCACACAGTGGGAAGGATTTGAACGTGTAGGTAATGACTTCAGCTCCAAAGGTCCCTCTGAGAAGAGGCCACATTATCAGCGCCTGGAAGCTGACCCAAGAGGCCAAGATGAAGATGATAAAGATCTTGGACACCTCCCCACCTCACCCTTATCCCTTCCTTCTTCATTGTCTATAAGCCAAGCTTGCATCCAAGCCATTTTGATCTGTTTTCACTTCTTGCTCGGGGAGGCTCCTAAGAGCCTTCCAGAGACTGGAGAGGTGGCTCAGTGGTTAAGAGCCCTGGCTGTTCTTCCAGAGGACCTGGGTTCAATTCCTAGCAACCACATGGTGGCTCACAACCATCTGTAAAAAGGTCTAGTGCCCTCTTCTGTCATGCATGCATGCATGCATGTAGGCAGAATACTGTATATAATAAATAAATGAATTTTTTATATTTAAAAGAAAAAGAAGTAGCCTTTCAGAAAGACAGGCTGGGTTTGGGGGTGTGGCTCTGCTATTGAGGACTTTCTAGAATCTGCCAGTGAGGGGCTGGGGATGTGGGTCAGTGACGGACAGCTTGCCCAGGAACTGGACAAGACCTGGATTCCATCCTCAGAACAATATATGCACACAAAAAGTCAGGCCTACTCTCCTGGTGGCTCCCCTCATGATCTGGGTAAGCGGTGGGTAGATGGCCACCTGATTCGGTTTTTTTTCTTTCTTCCTGTACTACCCTGAGTGCATGGGTCATTGGGCCTCCTCTCCTTTCTGGTCTCCCAGCTCCAGTATTTGCTTTTGGTTAATGGTGGCTGCCAGGGTGTGGGATGTGGGGTGGAGGGGTTGCCACCTCAGAACATAACAGGCTTCATTACCCAAACAGGCCACCCCTAGCCTGATGGCTGGCCCCCTACCTCCCAGAGCTAGATAAATACCATCTGTCCAGTAAGGCAACGTGATTTGGTGGGGGACGTGGATTCTTCCTGGGGCAGCTTCTTTGGTGGTGTGGGGTGAATGGGGGACACTCCTGAGTTTGTGGCCCCTGTCTGTAACCTAGCAACCGTTAGGTTTCACTCAGCCTTCTGCTGTCCGGCCTCCAGCTCCCTCACAGGGTTGGTAGCCTAGGCTGAGGGTAATGAGTCCATGATAAGATCAAGCCAAAAGGAAAGGATTTGGTTGGAGGCATGTGAGGGGAAGAGATTGGTCTGGTTAAAAAAAAAATTCTAGAGCCAAGGTTCAAAAGTTGTGAGTAATCGGGGAGAAACAGAGAATCTCAGAGGAGGGAAGGGGAGAGGAAAGGGAGGGTTAGGCTTGTGAAGACCAGAGGACTATCTTAAATATGGCTCCTCAGATGCTCTCCACCTTGGGGTTTTGTTGTTGTTGTTTGCCGAGACAGAGTTTCTCTGCGTAGCCCTGGCTGTCCTGGAATTCACTCTGTAGACCAGCCTGGCCTCGAACTCACAGAGATCTGTCTGCCTCTGCTTCTTGAGTGCCAACACTGCCCGGCTCCACCTTAGTTTCTGAGACATTCTCATTGACCTGGAACTCACCCACCAAGTAAGCGAAGCCGACCGACCTTGGAACCACAAGCATCCATCTGTCTCTGGGCTCAGAACCGCAAGCGCACACTGGCAAGCCCGGCTCTTTTCTCTGTGGGTTCTGGGGATTGGACTCAGGACCCCAAGCTCCCAAGGCAAACAAACACTTAACCAACAGAGCTACTTCCCAGTCCCTCTTTGTTGTCAGTTAGTTTAATACAGGGAACGCCTAGGCAGCCCAGGCTGGTCTGGATCCTCATCCTCCTGCCTCAGCCCCAGTGTTGGGATGACAGACCCGTGCGTGCCAGCACTCCCTAGACAAGAGCCTTCTTGAAAGTTTTACAGCTGTCCTCCCTGGGGCTTCCACCCACAGAACCAGGGAACACAGTGTGCCAGAAGTTCCTTGGCGAGAGTGAAGCACCCAGGCGCCCTTCTCCCTGTCTAACTGACCAGATCCACCCACCACTGGACCCCCTGCCTGCTTGCCCCAGTCCCACCTCACTAGCTGCTCTCTGGAGATTCTCATCCTCTGAAATCCCTTTGCTTCAGAGAACCCCCATCATGGGAGGGGGGTTGTCTTTGGAAGTCTTTCTCTCTCTCTCTCTCTCTCTCTCTTTCTCTCTCTCTCTCTCTCTCTCTCTCTCTCTCTCTCTCTCTCTCTCTCTCTCTCTCTTTCTTTCCTTCTTTGAGACAGGATCTCTTTACTTATTTGAGACATGTATCTTGGGCTAGCCCGAACCTTAAATTTCCATGCAGCAGAGGCTAACCCTGACCTCCTAGCCTTCCTTCCTCAGTCTGAATTCTGGGATTCCAGGCATGCTCAACCACGAATGGTCTTTGAGCTTGAGCATGGGGTGTTTACTTTTATTTTGGTTTTTATTCCTTATTACTGGGAGGGATGTGCATGGCCGGCAGGTGGGTGGAGGTCAGAGGACAACTTCATGGAGTCCGTGCTCTCCAGCCACTTTGATGCTGCAAATACCGCCACTCACAGAGCTAATCTCCCAGCCTGTATTCTGTGCTTTCCTTCACCAAGGGTGCAGAACCAAAGACTCCTGTGTACTTGGCCTCCCCCATCCTGGTGTTTAGAACCCCATTTAAGAGAATTTAATGTCCTGGCTCCTTGGGGAGGAAACACTGCGCTCTCTACCCTAGCCTCTGAAGGAGCAGTTCTGGGAGTGTGTACTGTCCCTCCGAGTACTATTTCCCTATAACCTCTCTTGCTCATAATCTGACTTGGGAAGCCCAGCAAGCCAGCCTTGAGTGCTGTGTAGACAAAGCAGGAAGCCCGAGTTGGGAGTGGTTGGGAAATGGGAGACCCTTTGGGGGAACCTGGGAACCCTAGGCTTCTTGTGGGGTTCTCATTACAGGCTCCTCATGCCTGTAATTCCAGCTCTTGGGGAGGCCAGCTTCTGCAGAATAGTGAGTTCTAGGTTAGCTTGATCTACAGTGCCAAACCCTGTCTCAACGAGGATATCCCCCTCTTCCCCATGCAACCCCAATAATTGGGAATCTTTGATAGATAAAGCACTGTCCCAGTGTGAGCTGCATCTGGTGATATTCTGAGACCTTAAATGCCCTCTTCCCAGGGAGTCTCATGATGTCCAAGGGCGGGGGAGGGGGAATGGGACAAGGAATTTGAACTTTCCACATTGGTCTCAGCGCCCTGAACTATCAGGTTGCAACATGACCTGGGCTTGAGGCCAGAACATGTGGGCCAAGGTTACATTGCCTCCAGCCAATGGGGTCTCGCAGCTCCGCCACCACGCCGGTAGACCACGCTCTTCCGCAAACCCCACCCCTGCTCCAGGTCCCTTATGGGGCTACAGGTGCGGGTCTACGGCCAGCGGACAGCGTTTCTACAAAAGGGAGGAGGCTGGCTGAAGAAGCGTGATATTTACAGAGGAAAGATCAAGGCCGGCCGATCCCCCTTGCTCGCCAATTGTTTTCGGTTGATAATTTATCCTGGTCCCTCTGCTCCCGGGAACTTTGCTCCAGGGCACTGGGCCAAGACCCCAGTTCGCTCCCTCCTCTGGGACATGTAGGTGGGGCTGGAGCTGGGTGCGGCCCCGGAGCTCTGAGCCGTAGCAGGGGGTTCCTGGCTGCCTTACAGTTTCCCACAGATACCTGGTTCGGGGCGACCAGGCTTCCCCAGGCTCGAAGCAAGGCGGACTGCAGCACCCCCTGCTGGCTCTGGGCGGGTCCCACGCACCCTCTTCCCGCTAACCTTGACAAAGCGTTCTAAATCAGGCGTGGTGGCTCAAGCGTGTAATTTGGGAGGCTGAGAAAGGAGTCTAGCTTTACGCCAACCCAATCTGAACTTCAGGGTAAGACTGTCTCATCAAGCTAAATCAAACCAAACAGACGACGTACGGGCAATCGGGAAGCGGGCGAGAAACTGTTTCCATATGAGTTGACACTGGCTAGGAGGGCGATAACCAGAGAACTGCAGTGGGCAGGGAAGTGAGTGGGACTTTGCGGGGACTGCTGGGGATAGATGAAACAGTCCTGGAGTCACACGAATGGAGGGAGGGAGTGCAAGGGATGGCTCATAGTTTGGGGAGTGTGAGGGACACCTGTCATTTCTTAGGGGCAGAAGCAGAGGACCAGGGAAAGGGGCCCGACTGCAAGAGGCCCTGCAGAGTGGAGGGCAAGAGAGTGGCGCCACGAGCAGATAATAGAACGCAAATGATTCACAAGCTTGGGTCAGGAGGCTGGCTCAGGACCCGGGGAGGGGAAGAATGCCTAGGTTGTGTCCAGAGTTTCCCAGAGCATCGTGGGAACAGAGCCCCAGTGCGCGGTCCCCCACGGAAAGCTGGGACTCGGGCTCCCCAGTCCGCCCTCACCTGTAAGCCAGGCTCAAGCACTCGAAGAGCCGGGTGAGTGTCGGATCGATGCTGCGCGGCCCGAAGTCGGCGACCCCCATGGGCCCCTCCTGGTCGCGTCGCCGGGTCAGCGAGTCGCTATGCGGCGAGGACACCATGAAGTGTCCGCTGTGGATGACCTGTGACCGGTGCAAACCACCCGCGCTGCGCCGGAGACTCGGATCCTCCGAGTCTGTATCCGAGTCCGAATCGGGGCAAGGGACGACCCGGGGCACCTGCAAATCCACTGCTAGATCCGCCAGAGCGCGCGCCATGGCCACTAAGTCGCCAACTCCCCTGCGCTCTGGGGAGCAGCCAGAGCGCCTAACGTAGCCAGCAGAGCCTTATTACCATGGCCACGCTCCAGTCTTCCTGATAGGTCCTTGGGGTGGGCGTGTCCTCGGTGGTGGGTGGGGTTTAAATTAGTATAATCAATGAGCCCAGTATGAAACTACTGGTCCAGCGCTTGGGCGATGGCCTTTATTTCTGTGATAAGCCCTTTTTAGTCTCTACTTCTCAAGTCTCAGAAAAGATTGGCTGGGGATGGGGCTGCAACCCGGTTGATAGAGTGTTTGCCTAGCATGCATGAAGCCCTGGGTTCAATCATCCGCACCACAAAAATTTGGCATGATGGCAAAGGTCTGGGGTATCGGCACACGGGAGGTAAAGACAAAAAGATCCTAAGTTAGAGCCAACAATATGGCTAACATGTGAAAATGTTTGCCGCCAGGCCTGACGACATGAGTTCCAGGCCCAGGACCCACACGGTGGAAGAAGATACTGAACTAGTTTACGTTGACCTTTGAACTCCACACGTGTGCATAGCACACGCGGTCCCAAACACATAAACACTAAATAACTAAGTAAATAAACGAAATATCAGAAGTTCAAGATCGCTCCCTGCTTCATAGTGAATTTAATGTCCCTCGCCTGCCTTTCTTCAGTTTTCCAGCATCCTGTGTGATGGAACCCCAATGTCAGCTTGCACCCAACTTCTCTTATGATTGTCCTATACCTCTATAACAAAGTTCAGAAGGGGGTTCCCTGAGAGTTCACCCTCTCTAGATCACCTCCCCTGTACTCAAGCAGGCTTTCTGCTCAGAAAGTTCTCTCACTGATTCTGAGGTCCAGTTTCCAATCCTGCCTTTTTTTTTTTTTAAAAGGACAAACACCAGGCTGGGCATTAATAACAGCTACCTAACTGAACAGGTAAAAGTCCTCTTCTGAGACACCAGCTAAGGACAGCTCAGTGGTAGAGTGCTTACCCAACCTTCCCAAGGTCCTGGGTTCGATCCCCTGCACTACACACACACACACACACACACACACACACACACACACACACACAGCAAAATCCTTGTCTGAGGCACACCACACAGTAATGAAAACACAGCCAAGGATCTCAAAGCCTGATCTAGATGTGAAGATGTTGGCTCAAAGGCTGCTTTCTGTGCACCAGGCCTCCTACCACAGGGGGAAAATCTCTGAGCTGTATTCCACAGACTCCACTTACTAGGGGGGTGGGGTGGAAGGATCCTCGGTGACCCTACTTCACACCCTGCCCCACATCAGTTGTTCTTCAAACAAGCAGCTTCATTTGTACCTCATTCTATTTCCCAGGCCCTGAGGAAAACCTTTAGAGACCTCAGCAATAAACACAGATAAGCTTAGAGCCAGGTGGTGGTGGCACACGCCTTTAGTCCCAGCACTCAGGAGGCAGAGGCAGGTGGATCTCTGTGAGTTCGAGGTCAGCCTGGTCTACAGAGCAAGTTCCAGAACAGCCAAGGCTACACAGAGAAATCCTGATTCAAAAAACAAGCAAATGGAAAAAAAAAAAAAAGATAGGCTTAAACCAGGTGGTGGTGGTGGCACAAGCTTTTAATCCCAGCACTTGGGAGGCAGAGGCAGGTGGGTCTCTGAGTTCGAGGCCAGCCTGGTCTACAAAGAGAGTTCCAGGATAGCCGGGGCTACACAGAGAAACCCTATCTCAAAAGAAAAGAAGGAAAAAGGAATAAAAGAAAGATAGCTTGCTTATAAAATTCCCAGCACTGTGGAAGTAGAGACAAGATCATCACATTTAAAGGCCAATTTAGTCTACATAGAAAGTTCCAGACCAAGGCTGGGCCTGTAGTTTAGTTGGTTACTCATCCAGCAAGTAGGAAGCTGTGGGTTCAATCTCTCAGGGCTTCGTAAGCCAGGTGTGGTATTCACCTCTGCAATCTCAGCACTGGAAAATAGAGGCAGAAGACCAGGAGTTCAAAGCCATGCTGGCTACATGCAACTCTGAGGCCAACTTGGGGCTACATAGTGAGACCCTGTCACTCCAAAACAAAACAGGGCCCGCGAGATGGCTCAGCGGGTAACGATGCCTGCTGCCAAGCCAGATGACCAATCCTTGGAACCCACATGGTAGAAGAAGAGAACCAACTCCCACGAGCTGTTCCCCGACCTTCACCCAAGAACACTGTTGGCACATGGGCGTGTTCTCTCTCTCTCTCTCTCTCTCTCTCTCTCTCTCTCTCTCTCTCTCTCTCTCTCCATCTCTCTCTCTCTCTCGCTCTCTCTCGCACACTCTCTCTCACACACACTTGTATACACTCACGTACAGAAATAAACACAATAAATGTCTAAAAAGTCAAAACAAAAACCTCCAAACAGCAACAACAAAAACCATCGTAGTGCGCAACAAATACAAGAGCGTCCCAAAGTTTTGATTGTGTCCACAGTGGCATGACATGGCATGACACGAGGCCTCTTCCAGGTGGCACGGTGTCAGCTGGCCTGGGTGACCTCTCGGTGCCCTCTAGTACCCGATGCCCAGAGTTCACAGCCTCTAAAATAACTCAGTCTGGTTCACGGTCCACCGGTTGCAGGATGACTCCTGACTGGGTGTGGAGACCCAGTTTTTCCCAGCAATCCTTCCTGACACCCTTTTAGCCTCCCAGGCTTGCCTCTTGAGGTTTCTCCCTTAGACTGCCCACGCTGAAGTACCACCTTCTCTTTACGGTCTCCACGCCCTGGTTCCAATCACTACAAGTTGGATTTCCTTCTGCTGAGATTCACAGTGTGCGCACTGGCCTCTCTTTCCCACTAGGTGGCAAATTCCCTGGCAAAACCAGGAATCTTTTACAGTTCAACTTCCCCCTTATGAGCAAATGTGACACTAATGCACATACAATCAAAATAAATAAATTGTTCAGAAAAAACATTTTGCCGGGTGGTGAAGCATGCTTTTAATCCCAGCACTTGAGAGGCAGAGACAGCCGGATCTCTGTGGGTTCAAGGCCAGCCTGGTCTACAGAGTGAGTTCCAGGACAGGCTCCAAAACTACATAGAGAGACCCTGTCTCGAAAAAACAAACAAACGAACATACAAGGAGCAAATGTGGCCAGACTTGGTGGTTCATGCCTTTAATCCCAGCACTCAGAAGGCAAAGGCAGGAGGACCCCTGTGAGTTCGAGGCCAGACTGATCGACAGAGCTAGTTCCAATGCAACCAGGACTATACAGAGAAACCTTGTCTCAAGAAACAGAAAAAAAAAAGCTAATGCATATTTGCTGAATAGAGGAGATAGTCACATTTATCTGCTAGCTATGCTGTGTCCATTTGTCCATCTACCTACCCCTTCATTCACCCATCCACACGTCTGTCACCTGTGCATCCGTCCATCATCCATGCACCTGTGTTCTAGCTGGACTGTATGTCATTTACCCACCTCTCGTTCATCCATCTGTTCTGTGTCCATCATGCATTTCGTTATCTATCCATCCACCACCGTCTATCTACCCACTCACCAATCCAGTCATCATCTCTTTAACCGTTTGTTCGCCCATTGTCCATCTGTCTTACTGACCATTTCTATTGCCGGGAAGAGTCACCGTGATTGAGGCAACTCTTTTTTTTTTTTTTAATTTTGTTTTTTTGAGACACGGTTTCTCTGTGTAACAGTCCTGGAACTCGCTTTGTAGGCCAGGCTGACCTCAGACTCACTGAGATCCACCTGTCTCTGCCTCCCAAGGGCTGGGATTAAAGACGTGCACCAACACCGCCTGGCAAGGCAACTCTTATAAAGGAAAACATTTAATTGTGGTGACTCGCTTACAGTTTCAGAGGTTTGGTCCCTTATCACCATGGAGAGAAACAGGGCAGCCTGCAGGCAGACATGGTGCTGGAGAAGGAGCTGAGAGTTCTTACATCTTGACTCACAGGCAGCAGGAAGTGGTCTGAGACACTGGGCCATATCTTGAGCATATAGGAGTCCTCCAAGTCTGCCTCCACAGGGACACACTTCCCCCATCGAGGCTATACGTACTCCAAAAAAGCCACACCACCTAATAGTGCCACTCCCTTTGGGGGCAAATTTCTTCCAAACCACCATGCCATCCATCTAACCACCTACTGCTCATCTATCTGTTCATCTATCCATCCAAGTGTCTGTCTGCACGTCCACTCACCCACCATCTGTCCATAACTATCCACCCCTTCATCAGCTGATCGCTCTCCCTACCATCCATCCATTCGACGGTGCCTTAGTTACTTTTCCTGTTGTGGTAATAAAGTACTCCAGCAGAAGCAAATTGATGGAGGAAGTGTTTGCTTTGGTGCATAGTTCAAAGGCACCGCACCGTCGTGCTGCGGAGGAGAGGGGAAGGCAGCGGGAGCTCGCAACATCTGGACACAGCAGGACACAGAAAGCAGGAAAGGTGCTGCGGCTCAGTAACCTTACTCCATGAACGCTGTCCAGGATCCCAGCTAGGGAATGGAGCTGCCCACAGCGGGTGGGTCATATCTCAGTGAACAAAATCAGAAGAATCCCTTTCTGGACCTGTCCACAGGCTTATCTCAAAAGTAGCTCTAGGTTCTGTTGAGATGACAATAACAGCACTATCACATCAACTATCCGGCTATCTACCTTTCTTGTTTCTTAAGGCAGGGTCTCACTTTATAGCTCTTACTGGCCTAGAACTCACTCTTAAGATGAGGCTGGCCTCAAACTCAGAGATCCGCCTGCCTCTGCCTCCTGAGCACTGTAACTAAAGGCAGGCACCACCATACCTGGCCCGATCCACCAATTCTTGTACCCAGCAATGTATGTGACATCCAACCACCTCTCTATAAATTTATCTACCTACCCATCTATTATCTTTCTACCTATCAGTCTGCACATAAAGGGTGGGGGAGAGAGAGAATCCATACTTTATGTGCCTGTCTCATTTTTGGAGCATGTGTCTAAACATATGGATGAACCAACTGCAGTTAAACAACAACTTGGAAAAATACCAGGTGTGAAGAAGCATGCCTGTGGTCCAAGGGGGCTGAAGGAGGAGGGT